CATTTTGATATGCTGCACTAGGCACGTCTGACTTCCAAACACAGCTTCCTAAATCTGCCTGACACTGCTTTCACCTGACCTCGTCCAGCCTTTTGTGGCCAGTGTTGCCTCCTGTGAAAAGAAGTGGTTTGATGGCGTAATATCCGGAGTCCCTTTCTAATAGTCACATCTCTGTAGGGGCAGCACCTGGCAGTAAGCTTATAACAAGTCATATAACTTCTCCAGATGGTATTCCAGACAAAGATTTAAGAAAGAGCCAGCCCATTGGCATTAGTGTGACCATGAGTGTCCAGGAACTCCCTAGGTGACTGCTCTTCAGACAGCTCTGCCAAACGAGCCCTCCTCCTCGTGCACGTGTGGGGACTGACTCACACAGTTTTTTCCTCTTGGGTTTGCACTGTGCTCTTAATCTTGAAGTTGGAAGTGAGCTCAGTATAGAGTGCTAACTAATTTCTCTTTAATTGATATCAGGCTACAGCCGAACAGTGGGAGCAACAACTCACCAATGTACAGAGATCAGTAGCATGTCCCCAATTCCCAAGGACAGCCGCTGCATTCTGTGACAGTGCCAGTGTAGAAAGAAGAGTAGTTCTATACCTGCAGATGTCCTAATAGACATTGGTGCTAAGAGATAGCAGCACATGTGTGGACGTGTGCATCCTTTATGAAGATAGCGGCACACATGTAGACAATGAGTATCCTTTATGGAGATAGCAGTAAACATGTGGACATGTGTCCTTTATGGAGATAGTAGCATACATGTGGACATGGGTATCCTTTATGGAGATAGCAGCATACATGTGGACATGGGTATCCTTTATGGAGATAGCAGCACACATGTGAACTGGGCCAGTAATCATGAAGGCAAGCTATAGTAGGAAGCAGATCCACTGAAAAATGGGCTGTAGACCTGTTGGCTGGGGGAAGATTTCCATAGCACCCTGATGGATGGAAACTGCATGTGTGGCCACACCAGATATGTCACAGGTGACTAACAGTAATATCAGCTGCCAGTGGCTGGTGTGGTTTTAGGCAATCTTGCTTTTTTCTTTGCATTTCATGACTTTGTTTCTTTATGCTGTGTGTGTTTCTTTATGCTGTGTGTGTGTTCGAATACATGTGGAGACCAGGGGTCAGATGTCTTCACCAATCATTTTCCACTTTATTATTTATTTTATTTACTTGTTTGTTTATTTTTGAGGTAGTGTCTCTCTATGTTCCTGGTTGTTCTGGAACTTGCTATGTAGACCAAATTGTCCTCGAACACAATAGATCCACCTGCCTCTGCTGGGATTAAAGGCATGTGCCACTAAACCCAGCTCACTTCCATGTCTTGAGATGATGTCTCACTGACAGTATAGTTTGTTAGACCGTGGGTTCCTCCTTTCTCTGCCTCCCCAGCGTAAGGACTACAGGCTCTGTTACTACATAGGCTCTTCTGTGGACCTGGGAACTTGATTGCAAGTACTTTACCAGCCGAAACCCTCTTCCTGGTCCTAACCTCTGCTTTTCTGATGAAGGGGTGGGTCCTTATGGATACCTACTGTGTACCAGGCATATTGATAAAGCTTGCTAGCCCTCCTGTGTGCTCTGTAGGATAGATGTATTGTTAGGTGATGCTTTTCAAACTTGGAGATAAGACATCTGGCAGGGAGTAGTTGAGCCTGGTGTCCCCTGCCCCCAATGAGTCTATGCTTAGGGAACCTGTGTGCTTTTTCAAGACCTGGCATTATCAGGGCACCAGAGTCAGGCGACTTTGGAGGTCGTCTGGTGTTGACTGGGAGGTGTTGTGACTTGCCCAAGGTCTTAAGCTAGCTGGGCAGAGGTGAACATCCCGAAAGCACCAGTTCTGTGTATAGCGTGGTGGAGCTGCTCAGTAAACGGCCTTGACATAGTTGTCAAAATGGCTGGGGGTTGTTTGTAAGCATCGTGGCCGTGCATAATCTTTGTATGACTTTGCATTGCTTTGCTTCTCCTGGAGTGCCTTAGGGAGGAGAGAGTCAAGCATGCCAGTTCATCAGTCTGGTCCTGTGAAGTCTGTTTACTTGGCTTGGCTTTTCTCCTAGCCCAGGAACATGGAACTGTTCACTGGTTGTATTGCTGGGGCCTGGTGTGTCACAGGAGGCATTCTCCTTTTATTCCCCCTAGATACTGGAGTGACCCAAGGGCGTTTATGTAAAAATAGTAGCACTGCTCTCACTGCTCTTCCGCGCTTGCCCTGTCAAGAAAGTGCCCCAACTGCTTGGGCCTGTGTCCTTTTCTGGCTGCTGGTGATTTCTCTGTTTGTTGGCAATCTGCGTGTGAACTAATGGCACCTGCCTTTGTTCCTTCTGTAGGCAGCCTTGGTGTCCGGTAGGAGGGAATTCTGTCACCTCGTATTGAATGTCTTGCCATTTGTATTTCTGTATATATTTACCAGGCATCAAGTCCTTGCTGAAGGGGAAGCCAGGTGTGGAACTGTGCTGCTGTAGTCCCAATACTTTTCTCTCTGGTGTATCCAAATTGTCAGGGTCTCTCAGCACACCAGCCAGTATGACTGCCAAGTGGTTCGTGGTGGGCATCCTATACTGCCTGGGCACTGGCTGCCAAAGGAAGGCACGCTTCTCATTCGGAGTGTGAGATTTTATTGTGCTGCTCAGAACAGTGTACACTTTCAGTTGTATAAATTGTTTTACCTCAGGAATCTGTAATGTGTCACAGAGGGCACAATTGTGGCTAAGGAGGTAGAAGACAAGTGTGACTGACTTTAGGACTGCGTTCTATGGATAAGACTGTGTGTTGAGCATCTACTCATCTGGTAGGCTGCGTGCAGAAATGATGCCATGGATGAGGGTACACACAGCTCCTGACTTGGCTTTACCTTCTTTGCCTTTATGTCCAGAAGTAGTATCGCTGCATCATCTAGTTAAATTATATTTAGTTTTCTGAAGACGCTCCCACCAGTAGTGTACAGTTCTCATTTCCTTGCACCCTCACTTCTCCCCCTCCCCTCCCCTTCCTTCCCCTCCCCTCCCCCCTCCCCCTTTCCTCTGTAGTAGCCGCCTAGTGAACGCCAGCTGTTGCTTTTCCCCACTCAGCTCCCTCTGAGCGGCTGTGCTCTCCGCTCCTCTGCTGTGCTCCTGCTCTGGAGCTCCCTACCCACTTGCTTCCTTGGGCTGGATTTTGGCTCTTTCCCTGACTCCCCTCCTGTTTAATTTTTCTTGTTCTGTGTACAGTGCACTTTAAATAGAAGTCCATTCATTGGCCCCTAATTTGATCTGTTTGTTATTGGGTTCTTTAAAAAAATCTTTGGAATGCGATTTTCTTCTTCCTAGGCAAATTATGAGGTTACAAAAAGTTATTCTCGATGTCTTGGTGCCCTTTCCCTGGGGATGATGGCTCTATGAGAAGGGGAATCAGTTATTTCAAGGTTGTCTCTAAAATTTTGTCTTCTTTCTTGGTGGTCAAATCAGATCTCTTATCTTCTCCTAATGAAAAGTCCCCTGCTACACCTGGGAATTGTATCTAGGATACCTATTATATTTAGTTTCCCTTCTTTGTTCCCTCTTACCTGTGGCAGTTTCTCAAATATCCTTGGTTTTGATCTGAACCGTGGAGCACTGATCAGGTGTTTTGAGTTTCCCTTATGTCTTTCTTGTGATTACTCAAGAAAGCTTATAGGCGTTGGAGAGACTGTCACAGAGGTGAAGTGTACATTACATTAAGTTTACATCACCAGCATGACTTAGCATTGTTCATATTGACCTTGGTCACCCGGATGAGGTGGTTTATCGTTTCTGTACTATTAACTCCCTTCCTTCCCTACAGTGCTCTTTGAAAGGAAGTCAAACCAGGAAAACTTAAATGCTGTGGTTCAAAAGTAAAAACTGTATTTTGAACTTAAGTTTTTAAACAGAAAAGCTCATAAAGAAGCCTACTTTAAAAGTTGGGGGGCAGGACAGTGTGTTGGCACATGCCCTTAATTCACAGCTGCACGTTAAGTTCCAGACCAGTCCAGAGTTATATAGACTTGGTTTCAACAAGGAAAAAGAAAAAATGTTTTTACACACTTCCAAGTATCTCATTGCTTCCCATATGGACTAAGTGGGTTGTTTGGAAACTGGACGTGAACTGAAACACAGAAGTCTGTGAGACCCATAGTCATAAAATGAAGTGTTCTGCATCAATGGCAGTTTATACTGCCAAACATAAAAGATTTGTGAAACGGCCTTGTGTCAAGACTGCCCTCTAGCAGGCGGCAACAGGAAAAGCTTAAAGGCATGCTGCCCTCTAGGGGACAATGTCAGAGGTACAAGAGAGTTATTATGTTTCAGTTATTCTTAAACTTTCAAGCGAGGAAAAGAGGGTTTGGGTTTTTCCAAAAATTGCACCAAGGTAAAGCAGAGCTTTAACCGATGCAGGTGTGTTGTCAGGCGTTAGCAGTACTGCCCTCACTATGCGTTCATTGGACAGTAACGCAACCCCAAGAAAAGGATGGTTGCTTGCCTGCACGCGCTCCCGACAGCCAGGAAGCTCCAGACCCGGGTGCGGTTGCGGTGACCATCGCGGGTGGTTCTACCTCAGTCTATGCGGTGGACTGCATTTTCTACAAGAATAGCTTCCAATGCCGAATACCCTCTCTGCTTTCCTGAAACTCTCGAGGGGCTTTCAGCCTCCTGCTCGACTTTACCCAGAAGGCCGCGCGCCACACGTCTGAAAATTTGCATGCCCGCCTCTCTGGGCGGGGCCGGAGGGAGGCTTGGTGCCGAGACCTGGTTAATTTGCATACGCCGGGGCGGGGCGGGGCTCTTGTGGGTTGAGCTGCTTCTATTTCAATGGAGTTTCGCCTCGGTGAGTTTTTTCCCAAACCTTAACCAGTTTTTCCGTGCCGAGCATCCTTTCCTGGCCAGCTCAGCTCATCGTCTCAGTCATTAGGCGCCCGGGGCTGTGGGACCGCGGGGACCAGATATGCTGGCACTGCCTCACTGCATCGCTGACGCTGTGTCTGTTTCCCCTTGCAGGTGGTTCTCCTGGGCATGGACATCCTGTCTGCACTGGTGACAAGGCTGCAGGACCGGTTCAAGGCACAAATAGGCACCGGTAAGCTGCGACCAGCAGACTCAGCCTCTTCTCCCACTCCGGACTCACCCCACATCACGACTTCACTGCTTCTAAATTGTCACCTTTCCCTCTAATCCCAAAATAGACCTTCCTGCTATGACCTCGAATATGAAATATTACCAATCAAGGACTTTATGCAAGAGTAGCCATCAGACTTGATGCCAGCAAGTGCATATTGTCCCCAGCCCCCCTCCAACCCCCCCCCCGGCAGTTTTCTATTAAAAAAAAAAAGGAGCCAGTTGGATTTTCCCACAGCTTAAATGCCACAAAATCAAGGTGTTTCATGGTGGCAATTAAACACGAAGGAGTTCTGTTTATACAACTGTTTCTGTAGGAAATCCCTCCATTCCTTGTTTCTTTATTCTTTCTGTTTTGTGTGGGCAGTGGCCTCTGTGTGTTACTCTGACCTCTGAGCCAGAATTAGCTGGAATTTTCCCAGTAGCGTTCATCATTAGTGTTTGTCCTTTTCCTTTTCTGTAGCTTTGGTCAGTGTGCTCACTGAGAAAGATCGTGGGACCATATAAGAACTTACTGCTAGGAATTAGGTGTTTGGACCACCTACCACTTCCCTCCTACATTAGCTGGACTCATGGATTCTCAGAAGAAGTCTAATAGGCTTGGGATAGGAATGGGTGGGCTGGCCCATGCTTCAGTGTACAGCTGTAGTGTGTGTCTTACGTGTGCTATAAGTAAAATATACCCACTGCCAGGGAAGCATGTTGATCCCCTTTGTTCCCAGACAGAGCCTGTTTAATGTTTTTATTAGCACATGCCAATTATACAGCATTGCGTCTTTTTTCTCCCATGACCACTGAGTTTCTTTAGGGTTGTTTACAGAAGCATGGGTGAAGGGCTGTTTTGGGGTAATGGCCGTTATCCATAGTGTAACTTCTGATGAAAGTGTCCCCCTCTCCCATCAACAGTTAACTGCATCTAAATCCTCAGGGAAGGAGAGATCCTTGGGAGTGCTCCCTCCCTCCCTCCCTCCCTCCCTCCGTCCCTCCCTCCCTCCTTCCCTACCCCCCCCCTTTTTCCAACCCCAGGTGCCTTATGTCCTTGGCTGGCCTTGAACCTTCCACACAGCAAAGGACAACCGTATGACTTGATCCCGGTCCTCCTCCCTCGTGATCCTCTTACCTCTGTGTCCCGAGTGCTGAGATTTTAGGCACACAGTACTTACCTAGCTCTTTCCTTCCTTCAGGTTTCCTTTGTGTCACCCTTGCATGCCAGAGCCCTCTCTTTTAATATTTTACCAGGTTCCGGATATGTTGGGATGCGGCTGGAGTAAAGTGAGTGTGGAGACAGTCTGCCCAAGTACAAGGTTCTGTAGTGTCTGTGGTTATGGAAACGTACTTTGGCAAGGAGAGTGGAGCTCTAACCAGCGATGGGTGGCCTTGGAATAACGGCCTATGGAATATGCTTTTGGAATTCCTTACTTAGGCCAGCTCACTGCAGATGAGCAGTGGATGACCTCAGATCCCTAGATCTTTTTCATTTAATCATTTCCATTTTGGTTTCCAGTGTTGCCAAGTCTAATAGACAGACTGGGAGATGCTAAGGACTCCGTGAGGGAGCAAGACCAAACCCTGCTGCTAAAGATCATGGATCAAGCTGCTAACCCCCAGGTAGGACAAAAGAAACACTCCTGAATGCACAGACAGGGTTCATGCAACCCCCTGGGCTCATTTCTTCTAAGTGGGTGGCTTAGAGATCGTCTTAGTGAGGGTTTCTGTTGTTTCCACAAAACACCATGACCAAAAGGAAGTTGGGGAAGAAAGGGTTTATTGAACTTACACTTCTACAGTACTGTTCATCACTGAAGGAAGTCAGGACAGGAATTTAAACAGGCCAGGATCCTGGGGGCAGGAGCTGATGCAGAGGCCATGGAGGGTGCTGCTTACTGGCTTGCTTTCCCTGACTTGCTCAGCCTGCTTTCTTATAGAACCCAGGACCACCAGCCTAGGGATGGCAGCTCTCATGATGGGCTGGACCCTCCTCCATTGATCAGTAATTGAGAAAATGCCTTACAGCTGGATCTTATAGAGGTATTTCCTCAACGGATGCTCCTTGCTCTGATGACTCTAGCTTGTGTCAAGTTAACATAAAACTAGCTAGTCCATCAATGACTATTCTTATAGCCCACAATCCCTCATATGAGAGATTAATATAAGTAGAAAAATGTATCATTTGAATAAATTAGTGGGTTGATTAATCTGTAACACCCTTTAGCTAACTTATGGCACTGGCTCTCCCTTTCTCTGGAAAGGGGTAGCTGGTGGTATCTGAGGAGCCATTAGGCCTAGCTGGAACCATGGTTCCTACATGACAGTTAGAGGAGCTTGCTTGAATGGATGGGCCCAGCCCTGTCTTCCAGGGTCCCACTGACCAGTGTCTGGGGATACAGCTGGGGCAGCCAACAGCAGTTTCCCAGGGGAGACAAAACCATATTGGAGTGAGCCTCGGTGAGGAGGGCTGTTCCAAACAGAAAGCAGGGTGCATGCCGGCTGCCGTTTGGGCTGTCCTGTTCTCAGTCATAAAATGGGGTAACTATACCTCCTTAGGAGTATGGGAGCAATCAGTAGTGTCACATAAGTGTATCTACTTTTCACACTGTAACTGCATGTGTTTTAAAGTAATTCCCTGTCTTACTTCAGTGTGATTATTTGAGGATCCTGGGAGCCGGTGGGAATGGGCCAGTTTGGTTCCTGTGAAGAGGCTCATATTCTGTTGCCTCCTTCCTTACTGTGAAGAGCTGCAAAGTTCTTACCCTCTCACCTGTTCCTTGTCACCTGCAGTATGTGTGGGACAGAATGCTCGGAGGCTTCAAACACAAGAACTTCCGCACGAGAGAGGGCATCTGCCTCTGCCTTATTGCAACACTCAATGCGTAAGTCTGGTGTGAACCTGTAAAATGGGCTTCACTAAAGCCCTTCCCCCTGCCTCACTTTTTTTTGAAATGGGTTTCTCTGTAGCTTTGGACCCTGTCCTGGACCCTGCTCTGTAGATCACACTAACCTCAAATTCAGAGATCTGCCTGCCTCTGCCTCTGAAGTGCTGGGATTACAGGTGTTGGTCACCACTGGCCAGATTTTTTAAGATAGGGTCTTCTATGGTCCTCTGGTCTTGAATTTCACTTGTAATTGAGTATGTCTTGAACTTTTGAACCTCCTGCCTCCACTCTTCAAGAGCTGGGATTACTGGCACAGACCAACATGTGCCCTATTTCTTTGGCTCTGGGGATGCTAGGCAACCAGGTCCTTGACTAAAGCTTTAAAACAAAACAAAACAAACAAACAAACAAAAAACAACAAAAACCACCCCCCCTTTGTTCATTAGTAATTAGATCTACAGGTAGTTGTAAGGAAATGTACTGGGAAGCAGCTCCTTCCCTCCGCCTGAGCAGTGTAGGATTTCACACAGGATGGCGCAGCCTTCGGTGCCTTCGGAAGTACGGGTGCTGCTCACAGAGCTTGCCCACATTGCCACCCACTGCCCTTTAGCCACACACTTTATAGCCTGTGGCAGCCACTAACCGGGACTCTGACGCTATGCTCTTGTCACAACACACTCAGGTGGAGTCAAGCCGTGAGTACCCTCTCTGGGTTGCCTTCTAGATTTCCACTTAGTTACGTTCCCCAGCGCTTGTACTGTGTGCCACTGATGCTGATAATTCCTTTTGTTTTACTGCTGAGTAGACACTCCTCTGGTATAGTAGCTATACTGCAGTATAGATTATATGGTATAGAATATATACTGTAGATGTAGTCTAATTTATGTAGCCATTCATCCATTGAAGAAAATGTGGGTGACTTCAAGTTTGGGCCTTTTAGGAGTAAAATTGCTATGGATATGTATGTAACAAGTTTCTGCACAAGTGTAAATTTTCAGTTCTCTTGACTAAATACGATGGAAGGGTCATTTTCTAAGCCCATTTTTTGTTTGTTTCTTCATTTTATTTATTTGTTCTGTTTGGGAGTTTTGCCTGCATGTATGTCTGTGCACTATGTGAGTGCCTGGTACCCTTGGAGTCTAGGAGAGGGTATTAGATCCCCTGGAACTGCAGTACAGATGTTGTGAGTTGCCATGTGAGTGCTGGGTATTGAACCCTGGCCTCTGAAAGAGTAGCTGGTGCTCTTAAGCACTGAGCCACCCCTCTACTCCCTACCCCATTTTTAGTTTTTTAAAAGAAACTGCTGAGGCTGGAGAGATGGCTCAGTGGTTAAGAGCACGGCTGCTCTTCCAGAGGACCTGGTTCAATTCCCAGCACCCATATGGCAGCTCACCCATTCCAGGGTCTGATGCTCTCATACAGACATACATGCTGGCAAAACACAAATGTATATAAAGTAAAAATAAATAAATTATTAAAAAGAAACCGCTGGAGTAATTTCCCGAGTTGTCTGTGCTGTTTTATAGAGCATATTCACAAATGATGTCTGTGACATCAGCATTGCAATGGTGAAAGGTCTGGAGAGATGGTTAAATGATTAAGAGTGCTTGCTTCTCTTCCAGAGGAAATGAGTTTGGTTCCCCGAATCCATATCAGGTGGCTCACAACTGCCTATAGATGTCATTTCAGGGGATCAGAATCCTCTTCTGGCATGCATACAGATAGACAGACTTTCACACATATACGTAAAGTAAAATTAAACCTCAAAGAAAAGTGACAACCTTGGAGTTCCCCAGCAGAGCAGTGCGTGGTCAGATGCGTTGCGGCCACCTTGTCACCAGCAACATTAACAGTCTGAAAGTCCCTCCAGAGATGACCCTGGCGAGTTTGGGTGGGTCCACTGAGTTTGGCAGAACAGGGAATATGACTTGACACAGCAGAGCGAGCGTCTGAGGCAAGCAGAACGGCAAGGTGCAGACCCCGGTGTAGTCTTCAAGGCCAGGCCATGGAAGAGCCTGAGCTCTGCAAATGGGCTCTGCGGTGCTTTGGAGCCACTTCGAGTAGAATGGAGGGAACCTTGGTGGGAGGGACTAATCCTGGGTGTGGAGAAGGGCAGAGAAGGGTGGGTGTGGGCATTGGCTTCTTTCTTCCCTTTGGTCTCACTCATGCCTTTCATTTGCAGCTCTGGGGCACAGACTCTAACACTAAGCAAGATCGTGCCACATATATGTAACCTACTGGGAGATCCCAACAGCCAGGTGAGTGGAAAGATCTGCAGCCCATGAGGGTGCATTCTGGTGTGCTGTGTGTGCTGTGTGCTCTGTGTGCTCTGGGTGCGCTGTGTGTGCTGGGTGCGCTGTGTGCGCTGGGTGCGCTGTGTGCGCTGTGTGTGCTGGGTGCGCTGGGTGCGCTGGGTGCGCTGTGTGCGCTGTGTGTGCTGTGTGTGCTGGGTGCGCTGTGTGTGCTGTGTGTGCTATGTGCTGGGTATACTGTGTGCCACAGGTGGGCAGACTTAACCTCTGGGGAGCTCTGACTCTGATTTAGGAGATTAGTTATCCACTGGCATTTATAAAATATCACAGCGATTGTAGTGGCCACTCTACCCTGTACGTTGGGCTGAGAAATCACAGAGGTTTCTGTCTACCAAATCATACTTTATAGTCTATAAATGACCACAGGGGCTGGAGAGATGGCTAGGAGTGTTTGTTGTTCCTGCAGAAGACTGGGTTCAATTCTCAGTGCCCTCATGGTGACTCACCACACCTATAACATAGATATACATAAGTGTAAAACACTCTTATACATAAAATAATCTAAAAAATGAAATCAAAACAAAACCTAAAATTGCCACAGCAGTTTTTTAGAACAATTTCGGTGCTTTTGCCTTTCTTTCTCTCTCTCAGGCCTTTGGCCTTGTTTCTGCATCTTTTGTTTTCTGCAGAAGAAGTTCCTTATAGAAGTCCCATTTAGAGATAGATGTCAGTGCCGTTACATGGTACCTGCTTGAGGCTATTTGTCTGTCATTAAGCTGCTTACACTGGACAGGCAGATGATGGGGTATTCATGGTGGACCTGTGGGTGATCGTGGATCTGTGTGCACAGAGTACACTTTGGTTGTGAGACAGAGCAGGCCAGACACACCGTCTAGCATGACAGCACTCAACACTCACTGCCTGCTGTCTGATTTCTGGAGAAGCCCAAACATCTCCCCCAACAAGACAGTCTCACAGAATAAGACAATCTCACAGGGCTGGTCGCACAGCACTAGGCAGGCTTACAGAGTAAGACAGTCCCACAGGGCTAGGCAGACTCACAGAGTAAGACAGTCTCACAGCACTAGGCAGGCTCACAGGGAAGGCAGACTCACAAGACTAGGTGGGGTAGATGCTAAGGGAAGCTCAGTTATTAAGCATATCACACACAGTGCCTTTCTGTGACAGGCGTGAACACCATCCTCCACGTGATAGGAGAGCCGCTCCACACTGACCGCGCAGTGTGGTGCACAGTGATACCTGGCAGGACTCTGCAGGGCATCATCCTTCCTCACAGCAGCTGTTGAGGCATCTCTGTGCACTAGTCCTGATGTTTAAAGTAGAGATGTGAGAGGAGCTCTTCACCAGCCCAGGATCTTCTGCTGTGCGCTGTGGGAGCAACAGCCCGTCTCCCTACTCAGAAGCTCAGATCCTGGTTTAGAACCCTGAGGTGATATTCTTACCCCCTTTAAAGCTGTTCAGCTGAGCCTCAGAGCTCTTCTGCTTCTTCCCAGGTTTCCACTTGTGGGGTTTCCCGCCAGGGGAAGCTCAGTTGGCAGGCAGCTAGCACACAGCACCTAGATCTGCCCTGAACTGTGGAAGGTGGGGGCCGTCTGTTCCTATGTAGCACTGTTCCCTGATTTTGCCTCCCTTGTCCAGGTCAGGGCGCGTTGATGTGTGAGATCTCTAGGGTTCTGGCAAGGTTCTCCTTATTTGGGAGTAACTTGGGTTAAATATCACATGGTCAGCATAGTCCCACATTCTGAATGCATTAACTCAGTTGTCTTCGTATTCGATATTAGAGATGGCATTGAGTATCAGTCTGAAGAGAATATACAAAACTTTGAGCTACCTGGACCAACACGAAAAGCCCAGAGTAAAGACATGTGGTGTCCACCTTGGTCTTGAGCCTGCCTCCCTGTTAGGGCAGTAGTGTGTGTTTGCTTTTGAGTCTTTCTGTAAATGCTTTGGAGGGTGATTGTTCTTAAGTCTCTGACATCATTGTTGGACCCAACTTATAAGTCTCCTTTGTCTGAGGTGGGCATTGTCATTTGCAGAAATCCCACACCTGCTGCAGCCAGTAATCTATTTTTTTGAGATTTATTTATCTGTTTGTTTGTTTGTTTAATGAGACAGGGTTTTTCAGGGTAGCATTGGTTAGACAACACACATACATCCATGTACAAAAAGACGGTGTTCATTACTCAATGTTAGGCACTCCTGGGTTCTCAACAGGAGTAGCAGTGCAACCTAAATGTGAAAGTAATGTGTTTAAGCAGGACTGTGTCTAACTGCTCTAAATAGCTGCTATAAAGACTGTGTACATTAAAGCAAACAAACAAACAAACTAGGAGGTGCCAGGTACGGTGGCACATCCCGAGTTTCAGCACTTGTGAGGCAGAGACAGGTGGAACTCAGAGTTTAAGGCCAGCCTGGTCTACATAGTGAGTTCTAGGTCAACCAAGACTGCATGCATAGTGTAGCTTTGTCTCAAAAATAAAAATTAGGAACACTTATTGCTCTTGCCAAGAACCTGAGTTCGATTCCCAACACTTATATGGCAGTTCAAAACTGTCCATAACTCTAGTGCTGAGTGATTTGTGCCCTCTTGTAGCCTCTAAGGAATCCAGGCACACACAAAGTACATATGCATACATGCAGGTCGATACACAACCACACATAAAATTAAAAATAAAGCAAGTGAGTGAAATAATGTTTTAATAAAATGGAAAATGTCAAATGTGCTAACAAATTAAACTTCAAATTACCTCTTCCTGCCCAGAATCTGGCAGGCACTTGTACTATATGGCTCTCAGGCATGATCTGTTACAGTGGTTTGATCCACAGGCCTTTAAGAAAATTCTTACTACCTTTTTATGTTTTGTTTATCTCCATTTCCCATCATGTGAAAAATGAGTCAGGTACTTGAGGGCGACTTTTAGTTCCCTGTAGTAGACAGGGTTTATAGCTGGGAATTCTCTGCTAAACCCTGAGAACACTCCCACAGCTACATCTACCTTCAGATGCCTTTGTTTTCTTTGGCAGTGCTAGAGATTGATTGAGGCTGGGGCCTCACATGTGTGAGACAAACTTTCCACCCTGAGATCTGGCCCCAGACCTTACATCTGCCTTTGGGGCGATCTCTCTACTCCTGAAACATACGTGCACACTGGGTCTTTTAGGAATACATGCACCACGCTGCTTCCCTCATGCCAGTCAACTCAGCCGTCTCCTGTTTTACCATCGAGCTCCATGCCTAAACTTTACAAACAGATTAAACTTTCATTTATGTGGGTATGCGCATGTGTGAGTACAGGTGCCTGTGGACTCAAATAAGGCTGTTGGCGTGTATGGTGCTGGGATTACAGGTAGCTGTGAGCTGTTGACACAGGTGTTGGGAACTGAACTCAGGTCCTCTGCAAGAGCAGTACAGGTTTTAACCATCTCTCTAGCCCCAGCTCCAAACCTTGATACCTCCTTAGAGGCCCTGGCCTTGGGCTTAAGGATTCAGCATTTTGAGTTTTGGTGGATGTAGCATGAGGTCTAAGAGACAAGGTGAGTGACCTGTGATTTAGTAGAACAAGAATGTTTATGGATAGCATTATGTGTCATGTGACACTAGTCAAATAGGGTCAGAAACTGTTGCTTATGTCCTTCCCATCCTTTCTCCTGAATCGTAGTAAGCTTTCTTGTCAGACTTTTCCTTTGTGGGACCGCTAGCCCCCCAATAATGACCAGGAGACTTATTATTAATTATGGAAGCTTGGCCTTTAGCTTAGGCTTTTTCTCAATTATCTCTTATAACTTAGTTAACCTGCTTTTATTAATCTATGTTTTGCCACATGGTTTGGTTACCTGTCCTCTGAGCCATCTCAATGATCACATATGCTGTTTTTATACTAAAGAAATTTAGCAGCGATACATTGATATTTAATGTATACTCCTTGAGCTTTCTCCAAGAAAGCTCATCCGTCCTGCCCCGTCCCCCTTATTTCACTGCCTGTGTAGGAGGGAGGACCTTGTGTCTGGCCAGATGATGAACTTGCAGTTGCTGGTGGCACAAGTGCCTCCTGCCTTTGCAAAGCAGGGTCTTACTTGGACCTGACCACCTGCACTCCTGGACCTAAGACACCTGGCACTGACATGACTCCTTCCTCCCCCCATCTCTCTCTCTCTCTCTCTCTCTCTCTCTCTCTCTCTCTCTCTCTCTCTCTCTCTCTCTCTCTCTCTCTCTCTCTCTCTCTCTCTCTCTCCCCCCCCACCTCGGCACATGCATGCACATGTTCAAAGGTGCACATATGCTTGTGGAGGCCAGAGGACAACATAGATATCATTCTTCAGGGACAGTCCAGGTTGTTTTTTGAGATAGTCTCCCTGCTCTAGAATTCAGTATGTAGGCTTTGCTAGATGGTCATTGAACCCCAGGATCTATCTGTCCCTGCTTTCTTGGTGCAGGGATCATAAGTGTGTGCCCATCTAGCTTTTTTTTTTTTTTTAACATGGGTTCTAAGAGTCACTAGGGATCCTGTGTCTACACGGTCAACACCCTGCTCCAGCCTTTCTGCTATGATCTTTGGTTTTGGACAACATTGACCATATCCTGCCTTCTTCTGTTAAAAGTAACATTTGTATGTAGTGTTTCTTCGTTTTAGCACCGTAAATTCCTTGAGGGCAGGGCCATTGCAGATCATTTTTGTTTCCTGTTTTAATCTCCTTACACATAATGCTGATGCCTTGAATGATCTACTTATACAGTGTCTTAGTTACTAGAGACACTATGACTAAGGCAACTTAGAAAAGGAAGTTTCTGTAGGGAGTACAGGTTCCACAGGTTAGACAGAGTCCATGACCATCATGGCGGGGAGCATGGCAGCAGGTAGGCAGTTGTGGTGCTGGAGCTGAGAGCTCACATGTTGCTCCACAAGCTAACTGGGACTTGTGTGGGCTTTTGAATTGTCCGCCTGCCCATGGTGACACACTTCCTCCAAAAAGCCCATACCTCTTAGTTCTTCCCAAACAGTTCAACTAACTGGGCCATTGTCTTACTCAAACCACTACACATCTGATGTTTTACTTGAAACTTCTGGTTTCCTGATTACATGATAAAGAACAGGGAGGACTTGGGTCTATATAAAAAGCTGGGGACTTTTTGTATACTTTGGATTTTCTATGATTTGGGATTGTTTTATGGGAGTGAAAACATCCAAATGTGCTTAGTTTGGCATGTATGGGGATTGTATGCACTGGCAGGCTGGTGATAAAGTGGGGTGGCGTATAGGCTGTTAGATTATCTGGAGGAGCTGGGGAGTGACACAAAGCACCTGTAAGATCTCTTCTTTTATGTCTAGGTTAGAGACGCAGCAATAAACAGTCTGGTGGAGATTTACAGACACGTAGGCGAACGAGTGAGGGCAGACCTCAGTAAGAAAGGGCTGCCACAGTCCCGGTGAGTGCTCACGTTCTCCGTTTTCCACTTAAAAAGCTATGTATTTATCTGTGTCTCTGTGTATGGGGGTCTTTGTGCCATGCTGTGTGTGGAGGTCAGGGGACAACTCGCAGGAATTCGTTCTCTCCACATGAGCACTGGGGATTGAATCAACCTGTCAGATTCAACAGCAAGTGCCTTTACCTGATGACCCTTAAAAAAAATATTTTTAAAACATTTATTCTGTGTATGTTTGTGGGTACTCTTCCCATACCCTCTCCCCTGCTCCTTTCCAGGTTTCATGTTGGTTCATGCTCCTGTTTCTGACTGACGATTTTATTTAAAGAATGCATGCCTATGAGACTTATGGCTAGAAGTCCTCTCCAGTCCACACCAGACATCACTGGAAGCCTTTTATCTTTTTTTTTTTTTTTTTTTTTTGGTTTTTACGAGACAGGGTTTCTCTGTATTGTTTTGGAGGCTGTCAGTCCAGCCTGGCCTCGAACTCACAGAGATCCTCCTGCCTCTGCCTCCCGAGTGCTGGGATTAAAGGCGTGCGCCACCACCGCCCGGCGAAGCCTTTTATCTTATTCCTTCAAAAATAAGACTTGGGGCTGGGAGACAGCTCAGCCTTGTAAGACTGAGTGCCTAGGTTTGAGCGTCAAAACACACTTTTAAAAAGTTGGATGCGGTGGCATGTGCTTATAGTCTCAGCATTGGGGAGGCGGAGACAAGATGATCCCTAGGGCTCCCTCATCAGCCAGCCTAGCTGAATTGAAGAGCTAGGCCAACGAGATTATCTCAGAAAGAAAAGCGGTTGGCACCCAAGATTGATCTCGGGCTTTCACAGCTTCCCCCACTCACACATCCCAACTCTCTCATCTACCTCAAATGACTCATGCCAACATCTGGGCCCATTCCACACCTGTCTAAGTTGCTTTCCTATTGTTGTGACAAAGTGCCATGACCAAGGCAGCTTGTAAAAGAAAGCATTTTATTGGGGCTCATGGTTCCAGGGATTAGAGCTCATGATCAGCAGGTAGGTAGGCATGGTGCTGGAGTAGCAATGGAGAATTGCTACACACACACACACACACACACACACGCACACACACACACACACACACACACACACACACACACACACACGGAATGGAGTGAGTCTTTGGAAAGGTCCAAGCCCACCCCGAGTGACACACGTCCTCCAAGGCCACACTGTGTAATCCTTCCCAAACAACAGGGCACCATGCTTTCAAATATGAGCTTCCAGATGCTATTCTTATTCAAACCACCACATAACATTCTCTGGCCCTATAGGTGTGTGGCTATGTCATAGTGCAAAATGCATTTAATCCAACTTCAAATGCCCACATGGTCTTTCACAGGCTCCGTGTGGTCTAAAAGTGTGAGCTGTTTTTAGGACTCAAGACAGTTTTTCAGTTGTAACCCCTATAAAACCAAAAAGCTCCTTACATGCTTCTATCATATAATGGCCCAGAATATACATTACCATTCCAAAAGGGAGGGAAGGAGGCACAGTGAGGAAATGCTGGACCAAAGCAAGACAAAACCACGAGAGAAAACTCTAAATCCTATAGGGTTACTTCTAATGTCAAAAGGCTTAGGTATCTTTCTCCTTCCAGCTTGTCTGACTGCAACACTTTTCTCTCTCTTGGGCTGGTTCCACTCCCTGTTAGCAGCTCTCCTTGGCATGGCTCTGGCATCTCTAACATCTTCAGGTCTCCAACACAATCCATGCTTCACTTCCACAGAGTCATACAGTCGCCTTTCTAGGCCTCCATGTAGGGACTCTGCTGCCACAGGCCTGGCCTCAGTGACTTTCCTTAGCCATGGAGGAAGACTCTTTAACTCCTTCATGGCTAACACCAGATCCATGTGACCAAAGCTGTGAGGTTCTGCTGCGTTCTTAGGATGGAGCCTGTTCCCCTTGAATTACATTTGTATAAAGTTTTGATTTGTTGTTGTTCCTTAGGAACAGACAGATAATTCTTTAGGCTCTTTCTCCCACAGGTTTCAGGATCAGAGTCTTACCCTGAGGACTTCATTCCCTTTATTCCATTTCTCCTTATCTTTTTCATCACCAACTAAGGTTTTAACATTACATTTCCTGGTGCTCTTTTTCTCTTCAAACTCTGTGTTTTGCATTTTTCTTTTTGTTTTTTGTCTTTTTCATTGTAGATCTGTGTAAGATCTCTCCAACAGAGTCAACATTAGGCTGTCTTTTTTTTTTTTTTGGTTTTCAAGACAGGGTTTCTCTGTATTGTTTTGTACCCTGTCCTGGAACTCGCTCAGTAGACCAGGCTGGTCTCGAACTCACAGAAATCCGCCTGCCTCTGCCTCCCGAGTGCTGGGATTAAAGGCGCGTGCCACCAACGCCCGGCTAGGCTGTTTTGAAATCTTCTCTGCCAACAAAATTAATCCAAAACTCTTCAGTTAAGCCTTAGACAGATTTTTAGGACAGGGGCAAAAAGTACTTTCTTTGTCAAAATATCAGAAATATTGTGTCTAGTGATATTATATGAAATGCCTTGAACCAGGCCTCCATAGTTCATATTGCTCTCAGCGCTACTGCCTTCCAAGCTCTTAGTAGAGTGACCCACTAAGCTCTGCTTACAGCATTCAACCACATTGTTAGTTCAAAGTCCTACAGTCTTCCCCACACCCCCAACAAACAAACAGAAAACCAGCATGATCAGGACTGTCACAGTGCTGGCCCATTCCCTATTACCAACTTCTTGCTGTTTTAGTTACTTTTCTATTGCTGTGACAGAACATCATGAGTGCCTTAGATAGAGTTTCCATCTCTGTGAAGAGACACCATGACCATGGCAACTCTTATAAAGGAAAACGTTTATTTGGGGCTGGTTTACAGTTCAGAGGTTTAGTTCATTATCGTCATAGCAGGAAGCATGGTGGCACACACAGACATGGTGCTGAGGAAGGAGCTGAGAGTTCTACATTTGGAGCAGCAGGAAGAGAGTGACATTGGGCCTGGCTTGAACAGCCTACCTCCAGTGACACACTTTTTTCTAACAGTGCCTCACCTACTCCAACAAGGCTACATCTCCCAATTGTGCCCCTCACTCCCTATCATCCTACGGGTGTCATTTTCATTCAAGCCACCACGATGAGCAAAGCAACTTATAAAAGAAAGCGTTTAATTGGGGCTTTTGGGTCCAGAGGGTTCTGTGGTCGGTGACCATCCTCGTGGGGGAGCATGGCAGCAGGCAGGAAGGCATGACACAGGAGCAGTAGCAGAGAGCTCACATTCACAGAGATTTAACTGGGAATGGCATTGGCTTTTGAAATCTCAAGTCCATCCCCAGTGACACACCTCCTCCAAGTGCTAACCCAGTGTTTCTCAGGCCCTCTGTTGCATCCCCTTTAGGGGTTGAATGAGCCTTCCTCAGGGGTCACCTGAGACCATTGGAAAGCACAGCTGTTTACATTACAATTCATAATAGTAGCAAAATTACAGTTATGGAGTAACAGTGAAAATAATTTTATGATGGGGGGTCACCACAATGTGAGGCACTATATTAAAAGGTTGTAGCATGAGGTAGGTTAGGAACCACTGTTCTAATCCTTTCCAAACACTTGCACTAACTGGGGACCAAGTACCCAAATACGAGCCTGGAGGGGCAATTCTTATTCAAAACACTACAGTGTCCCACACCTTTCAAGATGTTCATATTGAGATAGTCATCATTTTTGAGGTTCTCTATCTTATATACACCCAGCACCTGGTGCAGCAGGTGCTTAGACATTTGGGTTAGTGAATGAAGCTGTTCTAGTATGTGTCTGCCTATAAATATCAGAAAGCCCCTTGGGGACCATATCCTCAAAAGGTTAGTGTTCTGTTCCACGGTGTCACTTCAGTGTTAGAACTGATGCAAGAGAAACAGCACCTTACTAGTCCCAAGAACACTTGAGCTAGAAATGGCTTATTAGAGATAGAATTTTAAAATACAGTTTAATAGTTGGCTTTCTATTATTTTGACAATCTTAGATGGGCACAACTCCCTAAGCCTGTCCTTATGTCCCTAGAAACTAAAGGGGCCCAGAGACTCAAACTGACTTTTGAGAGATCACATAGTAATAAGAGTCAGAGCCAAGATGTACATGAGCTAATCAGATGAGAGTAAATGTGCTTTAATATTTACATTTATTTTGCCTGTCTTTGGTGGTGTATACCATGGCACACGTGTAGAGGTCAGAGGAGAACTTTTGACTCTGTCCTTGTACTTTATGTGGACTCAAGCTGAGGCTGTGGCTGATGCTTTACACTGTGAGTGTACTGTGCATGTGTGTATAGATGGGTTCATTTGTGTGGTGTGCATTTTTTGGTACATGTATGGGCTCATGTGTGTGGGTACATGTGCACGTACACATGTTGTCTTAATCACTCTTGCTGTTGCTGTGATGAAACACCACAACAAAGCACCTTGAGGGAGGAGAGGATTCATTTGGTTTACACTTCCTCATCCCTATGCATCACTGAAGGAAGTCAGGACAGGAACTCAAGCAGGGCAGGAATCTGGAGGCAGGAGCTGCTGCAGAGATCATGGAGGAAGGCTGTTTACTAGCTTGCTCTTCGTGGCTTGTTCAATCTGTTTTCTTATAGAACCTTATGGAATCTCCCACCTTGGGCTGGGCCTTCACCCATTAGTTACTAAGAAATGCTCTACAGCTGGATCTTATGAGACATTTTCTCAGTTGAGGCTCCCTCCTCTCAGATGACTCTAGCTTGTGTCAAGTTGACATAAAACTAGTCAGCATCCATGTGTCACTTTTCTGCCTTATTTAGTGAGGCAAGGTGTCTCACTCAAACTCAGAGCTTGCACTAGGGATCCCTTGTCTCTGCTTTCTGAGACCAGAATTACAGGAGGACCATCTTACATGTACACGAGTTCTGGGGATTTGAACTCTGGTTCTTGTGCAGGGGACAGGCACTTTAACCACCAAGTCATCTCCTCAGTCCTAGTACAACTTTTTGTTTTGTTTTGTATATTTTTTTTGAGACAGGTTTTCTCTGTATAGCTTTGGAGTCTGTCCTAACACTTGCTCTGTAGACCAGGCTGGCCTTGACCTTAGAGATCCACCTGCCTCTGCCTTCCAAGTGCTGGGATTAAAGGCTTGGCCACCCTGCCTGGCTGAGGTTGAGATTTCGAATGCATGCTTCTTTTCTTTAAACACACACACACACACACACACACACACACACACACACACACACACACACACACACGAGAGAGAGAGAGAGAGAGAGAGAGAGAGAGAGAGAGAGAGAGAGAGAGAGAGAGAGAGAATGTGAGGGTGGCAGAGATAGGTTGATAGGTAGGTAGATAGGTAGTTTGTAGATGGATAGATAGATAGGTAGGTAGATAGATTGATGGATAGATAGATGGATAGATAGATAGGTAGGTAGATAGATTGATGGATAGATAGATGGATAGATAGATTGATTGATTATAGGTAGATAGCTGTGGAGGATGTGCACACATTGCACCATATGCATGTGGCATGCAGTGGACAGACCGTGGGGATTGGTTCTCTTCTTTTACCGTATGGTCCCCGGGGTTAAACCCGGGTTGTCAGACTTGACAGCAGGCACTTTTACTGGCCGAGCATCTCAACGGCTCCAATGCATGTATTTTCATCTCTCTATGTTAAACACTTTGGTACCTTTATTCAGGAGGGGAGACATAAGCTGAGCTCTTGGTGTTTGTTTGACTGATTTGTTTCTTGAGGATGATTTAAAATTTATATTTTACATTATTAAAATTTTCTAACAAAGATTTAAATATAAATCTTACTTTACAATAAACTATTTGGGTTGAATTTAATGTAAATTTTTTTTAGGTTCAGAAAAACTAAGGCAAAATGATAGTGGTGATTTGTCAAACTAATAAAGAAATTAATTCCTTCTTTTTTGAGGGTAGTGGGAGTTTAACTCAAGGCTACATGTGTGGTACTCTGTACTTTACCACTGAGGCATGTCCCAGGCCCCAAGATGTCAAATTGCAATCTGAAGATTAAAAAACAAATCCATTTGATATTGATAGCTTCAGAGGGTGTGAGGTCAGCTTTACTGTCAACTTGACATCACCTAGACTCTCCTGGGGAGAGGTTGTCTACATTGGGCTGGCCCGTGAGCTTGTCTGAGGGGATTTCTTCCTAAGTTTACTTTTGTGGGACAGTACAACCCACTCTGCATGTCACTGTTCCCTAATCATGGGACCCTGGGCTGTGTAGGAGTGGAGAGGCTAGGTGGGCGCAAGCAGGTACATGGGTGGCCTTCTCTCTGGTCTGGACTGGGTGTGACTTTGGAGTTCCTGCTGCCCTGATGTCCCTGCTGTGATGGACGCTAGCCTGGTGTTGTGAGCTAGAATGAACCCTTCTCTCCTGAGCTGCCTTTTGTCAGGGTGCCTTGTCACCACAGCAGAATTAAACTAGGATATAAAACGGGGACTCACCTGTTTATATTTGTGCCAATTAAATTGCTGTGTTTGAAGCTAGCAGACGAAAGCCTGTATTTCCATGCCTAAGAAGTGATTTGTTGGTGTTCAGCTGTCCATAGCCAGGTCTCTGAGGTGTAGCCATGATAGCAGCCATGGTGGGGGCACTACCATGAGGGAGTTAGTTAACCCGGAATGTGACAGTGACGGAAAGGCCATCCTATCAGGGAGAATTCCAAGTGAAGACAGGAACCAGGAACAGTGGTGTTTCTTGGATGTTCTCCTGCCTGCTTGTTGAGGCCTCAGGGCGTGGTTAAGGCTACCACAGTGCGTAGACCTCACCTCTTGGAGAGATCCTACAATACTGTTTTCACAAGTGCTATTTGTAACTGGGACTCTCTCAAGAATGTAAGTAATACTTACCTTCTTCCAGAAACTTCAGAGACAGCCAGATGAAAGGGCTGCCTCTGCCCTAACTTGTAAACTTGCTGGCATGTTCCTGTCATGGCAGAGGGTGTGGTTGTGACACAATAAAGTGGTACCCAAGTCAGGGCACACCCGGGCAACCTGTACAGTGAGCCTATTTATGGGCTTGTCCATCCATCCAAGATCTCTGTTGCTTTAAAAGGGAAGGTGATGGAAACATCCCAGGAATTGACATTTAGGCATCTTTCCGGATCTTTAGTAACCACTGGATTTGAATGTGAGTCATAAGGGTTACTCATGTCTGGTCCTGAGCTAGCAGTTGGACTTTTATTTCAGTCCCCACTTTGATTTGTGGGTAGTAGTATTCTAGAGAAAATTTGGGAAGGATTCTGAAGCTGTGTCTGGACTCGGGAGCCTTGACGAGATTATTGATCTCTCCCGTGGGATGGGAGGGGTGAGGCACTGTAAAAGGCAGTTTCATCCCTTTGTCTGCCAGTAGTGTTCTTGGCTTGCCTGTTACTTCAACTTAAAGCTTCAGAGGGAAGCAACCTTCCCATTCAGTGTCTAATTAGCTTTGAGCTAGGCACGGAATGGAAATGTGAGTATTTGTTGCATGGATGAGTAATGAATAAACCAAGACCAGAATGTATTTAGTGTTCCAGAGAGAAGGCAGAGACCTGGCTAGGTACCAGCTCTCTGTACCATGTGACTCTCACAGGTCACCCTCTGCGTTGTGACCAAGAGAACATGACTCCTATTTCAGCCTCCAAGGAGTTTCCATTCTGGAAACATGTATAAAAATGGCTAGCTTTCAAAGGCAGGATGGGAGGGCAAGAGAGTGCTAGTGACTAGCCTGGTCCCAGAAGTGGGGTGGCAGCTGCTCGAATGCAGAGTGCTATGCTTTGGGGCAACAGTGTTTGACTCACAGCAGAGAGTGAGCCAGCTCTTTTTCTTGGGAAGTCTCTGTGCTTTTGCTTCTAGGTAATGTTACATCGCCTGTCTTCTTTCTCAGTTTTGGTGTCAGCTGGGATGGAATGTTTTGACCCATCAGCAGTTTTGCTTGCATTTAAATGCCACGGTGGGAAATCTGTTATTAGAAGTACCGTGTAGATTTCTTAAGCTGAAGCATGTTCAGTCACAACATTTGTTTTTAGAAGGAGTTATTTATAACAGTTGGAATGAAGCTCAAGTCAGAGAAAGCCTGTAGTGCAAAAGTAGAACATTTTAAAAACTTTATGCAAAGTAACTGGCAATTTGCTTCAAAAGAAGCAGGAGAAACATGAACCTTTAAAAAAAATTTAAAATGTTTCCCATTGATGGGGGATGTCCTGCTCTGTCGTTCTCACCTTATTTCCTTTAAGATAGACTTTCTCATTGAACCTGAAGCTAGGCTGGTGGCCAGTGAGACCCAGTGACCCTCCTGTTTCTCCCCCTCATAGTGTTGGGGTTTCAGGTGTGGGAATGGCTGAAACCAACTTTAACATTGATGCTGGGGATTCGAACTCAGGTCCTCAAGCTTGTGCAGCACTGTTACCCATAGTGTGATCTTTTAGACAGTCCTTAAACCAGTGATGGAGCCATTCTAGATGGTCAGTTATTGCTGGTTATTATCAGTTACTGAGGGACTTACTTTTTTTTTTTTTTTTTTGAGACAGGCTATCTCTGTGTAGCTATGTAGACCAGTCTGGCCTTGAACTCACAGAGATCTGCCTGCTTCTGCCTCCCTAGCACTGGGATTAAAGGCATGTGCCACCACCTCCTGGCTTGGGAGTTACTATTCTTGCTTAGTGGTTTTTATAATTGATCATTTTGTGCGTGGGGCTGATTGTTAGTTTTAATTGTAAACTTGACACAATCTCCTGAGCATCTCAAGGAGAGCCTGTCTTCGTTGGGTTGGCCTGTGAACATGTCCATGGGGGATTATCTTGATTATGTCAGTTGAAGTGGAAAAACCTGCCCACTGTGGGCAGCAAAATTCCCTTGGGTAGGGTTTTTATATGAGTCTGAACCGTTAGAAAGAAGCATGTGTGCATTCATTCTCTCTCCCTCTTGACTGTGGGTGTGACTAACTGCTTCAGGTGGACTTATGTGGACTTAACTTCTCCACAGGGATGGGCTGTAACCTGGAATTGTGAGCTGAAATAGACCCTTTCTCTCCTCGCTTGCTTTTGTTAGGGCATCTTATCACAGCAACTGAAAGAAAACTAAGGTGTCAGGGGCAGTCAACTTAATAGTGTTTGTTAATCATAAAGGTGATGATTAATATACCATATATATATATTCTTTTCTTTTCAAACAGGTTGAATGTCATTTTTACAAAATTTGATGAAGTCCAAAAGTCTGGAAACATGATACAGTCTGCAAATGGTGAGTGGGAAAACCAGTCTCCATTTCTGCATTTTTCAGTTTCATGGCAAAAATGCTTTTGCTATTTCTGAATGGATACTAGATGTTTCAATAAGGTTTTCTAGGTCTTTGAAGTTAGATTTCCTCCATGTACTTTGCCAGGCCAGTGGGCTTCCCACTGCCTTGGTTTCAGAACCTCAGTTGTATCCATTAGATACAGTCCATTCTCCTCATCATCCCATTAACTTGCTGGTGCAGACCTGAGCTGTCCCGGCAGCATGGGGACATTGGTTCCTCTTCCTCCCCCATGTCTATAGTCTGTGTTATTTAGCATTCAGAGTAATCCTGTTAGAATGCAAATAAGGGGTTGTTGATCACCCATTCATACTCATAGCCAGACTGCAATTTAGTGGCCCCCAGGGTTGGTAGTATGGCCTGGACCCCCCTTTTTTTTTTTTTTTTTTTTTTTTTTTGGTTTTTACGAGACAGGGTTTCTCTGTATTGTTTTGGAGGCTGTTGGTCCAGCCCGGCCTCGAACTCACAGAGATCCACCTGCCTCTGCCTCCCGAGTGCTGGGACTAAAGGCATGCGCCACCACCGCCCGGCTCTGGACCCCTATTCTGAAGTCATTCTTTCTGGAAGTTCTCTCTGCTTCTGCCACGTTGGCTGTTGTTCTAAGTTATCCTGAGCACTCTGAGCTTATGACTTCCATTTCCTGAAACTCTGGTCCCTGGTTTCCTTTTTTGATGTGTATGGTATGGAGGATGATCTACAATAGCAGCTCTATTTTCTGTTGTAAAGAAGGAATGAACTAAATATATAGCAAGGCGAGTAAAAGAATAAATAGGTAATAGATAGCTAAACATCATCAAATCAGGCCCTTGGAACTTCAACCAAAGCCTTATGACAGCCACCTGAAGTTCGTGAAGAAAGAGTCCCAGGCAGAGAGAGTGTCCTCTTGGGTGAGGTTTCCAAGTAAAAGAACAAATAGCAACAGATAAAGGTGGCCTCATCAAATTGGGTGCTCACAGTATCCAGCAGAAACTGACTGGGGAGGTTGAGGCAGTCAGCCGGAGTTCCCAAGACGCTGTCTCTGGGTCTGAGCTTCCCTTAGCTGTTCTTCCGGTGTCTGTTTCCTGCTATAGGTACTCTTATGTCATGGGACAAACAGTAACCTCTGTTGGAAACAGCTTACCTTCTCTTTTCAAGAGTACAGTGTTTTACTGTTTTGCTGTTCTCTTCCTGCCCTGTAACAGTGTCAGTGGGGCCAGCCTAGCCCTACAAAGGGGGTCTTGGAAGACACTTGGCATAAACATGCTTGGGCTTGAAGTTAGGTTGCCAGCCTTGCTTCCAGCGCCAGCTTCTCAGGGAGCACATGACAGTTTAACAATGGAATGTACATTCCCCCTTCACCCATCCTGGTCTTCATGGCAGAGGCCATCCAGAGCACTGTGGCCAGGGGCTTCCTGAGGCTCTCTGCCCCACCCTGTTTACACTCCTTAGCAGTCTCACTAGAAAACACTTGCTTATTTATGATGGTAGGGTCTTGATTTTATTCCCTTTACTTTTTCCTCTATTCCCACTGAGCAAGGTTCAGTCCCTCACAACAGTCTCTGGCCTGTGCTAGGTGTGTGATATGTATTGTTCCATAAATACTGTAAGGACTGTGATGTTGAATCATGGCCTGTCGTTTCTACTTCTTGGCTTGCCTTCACTCTACTTGTTGATGGTAACTGAGGATAAATAGGTAACATTTGTGATTCCCAAAAGGAGGAAAAGACAGAAGTAAATTACTGTAAGAATGAAAAGCCATTCAGGAATCAATTGCCAACAGAATTGTGTGTGTGTGTGTGTGTGTGTGTGTGTGTGTGCGCGTGCGTGCGTGCGTGCATGCATGCCCTACTTGGTTCTCTGGAGAAAGAAAGCTAATTAGTATAAATAGCAGTAGGGGAAAAGAAATAATAAACTTACTTTCAAGACATTTGCAGGCACATTTGGGTAAGAAGGAAAGCCTGGCTCCTGTAACCCTCTGCTGACTCAGTGAATAAACTTCGAGCAGGAAGGAATGCATGGTCCCAAACTGCTAAAGGACTGTCACCTGCCTTGTTTGTGTGTTATATCATCCCTACTTGAGTATGAAGACAGCCATCAGCAAATGAAGCTTTTAACTCTGCCTCTATGGTTTTGCTGTTGTGGATATGCTGTGTAAAACACTATCTGACTTTTCTGTTTGGCTTCTTGCACAGCACAGTTGTTTTAGAGTTTGCACAGTAGGTACTATACCATGTTAAATTCCTTTCTTTTTGAGACAGAGTGTTGTTGTGTAGCATAGTCCTGGAACTTTACTTGACCAGACAGGCCTTGAACTCACAGGAATTCCCCTGCCTCTCCTTCCCAAGTCCTGAGATTAAAAGCATGTACTATCATTCTTTTTTTGTGGCCTGATTTGTAAATAGAGACACTTCCTCAGCTGACTCTAAAATAGTGTCTTTTCACTGATCTGTGCCATTTCAGATTTGAAAGTTTACCAGCTCGTAGTCAGTGTTAGGACATGATATTTGCTGTTCAGTGGATAGTGACTAGAGTGTGAGGGCCATGTCCCCCAATAGGTTGTGCAGCTAGTGTTAGGGAACAGCTAGCAGGTAGCTGAAATGTGTAAATGTCCTTTCTGTGTGTTCTCTCTCCAAGCCTTAGCTTTGCAGCCTGGGGCAAGCAAATCTGTTGTGCCCAAGTTACAAAGATCCCCAGAAACCACCAGGAAAACAAACCCACCAACCTGTAAAAGCAAGGTTTTCTTTGTATTGATTGTTCATTCAACCATGGCAGGGACCCCATCTAGCAAGCTGATACAGCAGCCTCCAGGGGGATTGAAGTTCCCTGTCTAGGTTTTAAAGACAAAAGTTACAGGATTACATCAGTAGGTACAGGTTGGTTGACATTTGGGAACAATCAGGAGAATCTCTCAAAGTCATATTTTGTCATGAAATACCTGTGTACCAATCTCATTGGTCAGTGCTGAGAGGGAACATTCTGTGGTTTCTATGGCATTGTCTTGCTACTTGCAGGTGGCCTGTTGTACATAGATACCAATAGTTTTCAGAACTATGTCCTGGAGACTTCAGGGGAGGTTTTGATCTTCCTTCCTTCCTTCCTCTCCCTCCTCCCTCCCTCCCTCCCTCCCTCCCTCCCTCCCTCCCTCCCTCCCTCCCTCCCTCCTCCTAAAAGAATCCCTTCCTCCCTCCCTCCCTCCCTCCTTTTAAAAAAGAGTATTTCAGGTTATTGGAATATGCTTGAAATTGCCCCCCTGAAAGTACTTTTTTAAAACAAAATTTACATGGAGTTTTAACCTATTTAGTGTTAGGAAGAGCAGGAGAGGTTCCCTTTCCAATCCAGGGCCCTCTATAATGTTGCAGGTGGCATCATGGATTCCATACACTAATGATAATGTGTAGTCTTTCTCTGCTAAAGCAGCAAGGTGAATGTCAATCTCTGCTTCTGCAAGATCCAGAATTTGGGATCCTATCTGTTGCTACTCCAGCTTCTGTTTCTGAAGGCGTGAAATCATTTGACAGAGCAGTAGACAGGCATGTAAGTGCAGTGTCAAATTTCTTTATCTTTGTTTTTCAAGGAAGCTGGTGGACTCTTTATCTGCTGTTGCTACAGCGTCTTTAAATCCCTGGTACCTGCAGGGTTATGCTTGTACACCTGAGGACATTGTTCCTTATCTATACCAACTACAATCATACAACAACCAAGTGGCCTCATATCAGCATTCTGGGTATAGATGTAAGAAATATTAGCTGTTCTGCATAGCATGCCCACAAGAGCCTCACAGTAGCGATTTCTAATTAGCTGCCTCATACTTGTCCTTTCCCTGGGATCTGCTGCCAGCTGTCACTCAGTCACCACACAGCCAGTGTTTTCCTTATCTTGAACAAGTGAGTCACTGTGCTGGAATCCAGTGGTGTGTTGGGCACTTTGTCCTGTATGACTCTTCCTCTGACCTCGATGTAAGGTGACCCCTGTCAGTCACTTTAAGTGTTTATACCTGGTAGAGTCAGCTTTCCGCCAATGGTAATGTGACAGTCAAAACTGGTGCTGGAATTATTAGACATGTTGGTGTAACTTCTACTCCACACAGCCTGCTACATTTAATTTTAAAATCACATACACAAACTATGGCACTCAACTGGAGTCGGTTCTCTCATTCCAGCATGGGAGTTCCAAGGATCAAACTTAAGTTGTCAGGCTTGGCAGCAAGCACTTTTACCTGCTGGACCATCTCGCTGAGCTTTTGCTCACTTTTAGCTGTGCAATTTTAAGTCTTCATGGTTGAGCTGTAGGAATTCTTTTTTAGACTTCTGGATCATAGGATTCATGGCTTGTAAATAATTTGCAAAGTGTCCTTCTTCCTATGTCTTGGTATATAAAATTTAAAATTTGATGAAGTGATTCATCTGTTTCTTTTACTTTTGTCACCTGTGAACAGTGATGCCATTTTCAGCTAGAAATAGAAACTCTAAATTAGTACTAACCTGCACAAACTTGCTTTTGAAAAGATTAATTATTAATTTTGGACAATTTCATACATGTATGTGGTCCCTTGTGATTATGTTCGTCCCTCTTCCCCTCTTCTCTGCTGGCCTCCTCTTCCCATCTAGCCCCCTCCTACTTTAATGTCTTTTCTTTTTTGTTTTTTGGTGCAGGTCTTGAAAATAATTATCATGAACACATATTTTTACAAGACCTCCCAATGTTAACGGCAATCCCTCTAAGAAAGAGATAATGCTTATTTTGGGTTGTTTCTTAACATGCTTTAAATTGTATCCTGTGAAGCCAGAGGGCTTCATTCTTTGTAAGTGTGACATGATTGTGACTGAAATCAGAGGTAGAGTCATTGCCAAGTAGCAATGTAAAATGACTTGCTGTCTGAAGTAGAATGCTTCATCTGTATATGATTCCTCCTTGTTGCTAGGCTACCCAAGGGCTTTCAGCTTTGGCAAAAATATGGGCGTTAAAAA